AGTTCCGGAGGCGATTGAGCTCACGGAGAGCGATCATGAGGACGACGGACACAACGGAGATCATGGCGAAGATGGAGGTGTTATGGAGGGCACTGACGAGGACGCTGTAAGTGGCGATTATAATAATTATTGTGCCTGGAGTTAGCGGATAAAATTGCTGTTTGTCAAACTAATATTCAATTTTAATGCTTGTTGCAGTGCTGCATCTGCCAGGACGTGGTGGATATACTGAAACAAGGTCATCTGTCTAGTTGCGACCACCGCTTCCACTTCGACTGCATCATTGCCTGGGCCAAAGTTACCAACTTGTGTCCATTGTGCAAGACCAAGTTCAACTCGGTAACACGACAGGACGCACAGGGTGCAGTGGTGCATCGTGAAGTTATCAAGGACGTTAAACAGGTTTATCGACCAGATCCATCCGACCACGATATTGCCGCTCAATTGCGACTGGTGAATCAAGCAAGATGCGAACTTTGCGGCTCTGGCGAAGACGAGCACGTGCTGCTGCTGTGCGAAGCGCTGGGCTGTGGGGTAGCCAACCATACGTACTGTATTGGACTGCGATCTGTGCCCAATACATCGTGGTACTGCTCAAGACACGCCACAACCCAGCAGAGGGCTAGTGACGCTATCGAACGACCAGCCACGACGGTATCTACGCGACGTCGGACACGACGATTGGCCAGTTTAATGTCCAATGTACTACGTGGGCGTGGCGGATCAACGTCAACGCGATCTCGAAGGCGTGGAACCCCGGGCTTTGTTGCAGTGGAAGAAGCAGAAGACCGACGACCGGTGCGAGGAATCGCAGCGGCGTATGCACTACGAATGTCAAGAGAACTCATGCAGGTGCAATTACGAGCCGATGCCATGTTCGCACGTGGGGACTTGACTCAGTCCTCCTTGTATGGACGGAGAAATGAAGATACTGGGAGTTCTCGACTCGGCACACGGTCTACTGGTGCATCGACGCCTTCTACAATCGATCAGATGTGGGAAGACCAAAGTCGAAGCAGGCAAGAACTCGCAGCCACGGCGATTGCAACACGCGATTCAAGTTTGCTCAATGAAAGTGGGAATAATCGACCCAGCCAACGCAGCAATCGCGTGTCTAGCACGTTTGCTCCGGAATATTGCGAGCTTGCCAAACTGATGCAAGATGCTGTAAACAGCGATAATTACGCGTCGTCCGTATCGTTGTTGATCCCCAAGACAGCCAAATTGAGGCTGGTATCCCGAGTCAAAACGTTTTTCGGCCGACTGAATCAAAAGGAGAAGGCCGCTGGGGTTGAGCTGGGCTGTCTGTCAGTACTACACGATTGGATTCGCGTTCCAGAACAGGAAGGAGACACTTCTACATCACCCAATGCACAGGTGCTAGATGCTGTTATTGCCATCTTAGAGACGCTGCCTGTCCGAAAGGAAGACCTTGTTGACGTAAGTACAGTTGTTGGTCTGTATTTTTGTTTATTTTACTGAAATGTATGTGGAAACTATAGGAGGAAGGCTTGCAGGCCACATTAGACAGTCTGTCGGAGCTTTCTGATGTTGGTATCGAAATTCGACAGCGAATTATCGAACTCAGCGAGAAGTGGCGAGATCTGAACCCTCCAACACCGATTGAGTCCCCACGGCCTCAAGCAACTCAACAAGTATCGTCACCTGTTAATGCTGCGCCGAGTTTGCCAGTAATTGAGGCATTTACTTCGCCAAAGCGCCCAGCACGAGCAAATGGCAAACAAAAACGAAAACGAGAAGCGTAAGTACTATTCTTTTGGCGCTTCAAGCGAATAGCTAAGGTAACTTTATTTTTTTTCTTTTGAACAGGTGGTCAGATACTGTGGTCGAGTATGTGAAGGCCAAGCTGTACCCGCTGTACAAGCAGAATGACGGCTCTGGCAAGCTGACAAGGGAACGCTTTAAGGCGATCGTAAAGGAAGTGGCCGATCTGTTTTCGCAGGAGGCAGCATCCATGCAATCTGCTGTGTTGTTACCTTCTGGAGAACTATCGAACCTCGCCAAGTCACGCATCAAGAAACTCATCGACAGAGTGTACAAGGCGTCCACAAGTGCTGCTGCCTCCTCTCGCACAAGGTTTCCTACTCCGCTACTTATGCGAGCATCGACATACTCTGCTGTCCCCTCAGTGAAGCGCCAACGGAGATAAATAATTCATGACTACTTTAAAAAATAATTTCTTCTCGAAAGAAGAGAAGCAGGGTGATTAGAAATAATACACAACCTTAACAGGGTCACATATAAACGCTTAAAAACTCATGACAAATACATTCCAAGAGATGCCGAGTCTTCTTGCGAGATCCCAGCGTCACTCAACCTCTTCTTTTGTATCATTTGCTCCACCATCCACTCATTCTTCATCTTCTGGGTAGTCATTTTGGCTTGTTGTAGTTGTTCATTGGCCAATGCGAGCTGCACGGCATGCAGCTCACTGTTTCGTTGCTCACGCTTGGTTTCGATGTCCAAGCGTCTGCTCTCAATCTCTAGACGTGCTGCTTGAATACTCAACTTCCGTCTCAAATACTCCGTCGATCCTTTACCAATTTGTTGTACTAAAGTTCCTGCTCTCCTCACGTCCGAGGCCGCAGCGTTGTGCGCATTCTCATTCCCCTCACTCTCGTGTTCTGCGTGCTCCACTCTCTGCCTCTTCGAAGACTCGAAGCCTTGAGGAGCTTCTACCTCTGTCTCCAACGTCTTGGGGACAGGAGCGACTGCCATTGGAGTCTGCATCTGAGCTGGAATCTGAGGCGCCGGAGTCGGAGGTACCATTGCTGCAGGCTCCATGGACCCAGCATTGACACTACTAGTCATAAAGTTCTGCTGCTGCTCTCCAGTGTTGGTATAGACTTCTTGTTGCTGGTGTGGCTGCTCCATGTACATTTCCTGGCGTGGTTGTTGGCCTCCGTTGTAAATATCAGGCTGCTGTGGTTGCTGTGGAGGGGAACTATTCCCATAC